TGTACGAATATAGTATGTAATACAGATAACATACAAAATATATCTTAGCCCAGCCAGTGTGGCTCAGTGGTTGAGCATCGACCTATGAACCAGGTGGTCCCGGGTTCAATTCAGGTCAGGGCACATGCTTGGGTTGCGGGCTGGATCCCCAGTAAGGGGCATGCAGGAGGCAGCCAATCAGTGATTCTCTCTCATCATTGATGTTTCTATCTCTCTCTCCCTTTCCCTTCCTTTCTGAAATCAATAAAAACAAATAAAAACAAAAAAACCCCAAAATATATCTTAATCGACTGTTTATATTATCAATAAGGCTTCCAAGTTTTGGGGAGTCAAAATTATCCGTGATTTTTTTACTGAATGGGAAGTCAGCACCCTTAACCCCACTGCTATTCAAGGATCAACTGTACTGCTTAGGGTCCCAGGGATTGCCTAATAAATGACAGTGATAGATGGAGTTAAACGTCTCAGAGAATGTTAAACTTTAGCGTGATTAAAGTGTTGATTCTCACCACAATACCTCCCAAAGACAACCTGCACATTGCGCATACTCCCTCTCATCACTCACTGGGGGAGCGGGAGGAGAGGGGGTGAAGGCTGGGGAAGTTGGGTAATCCCTGGGCTGCTGCCTGTAACTTCTTTTCTCTCCCACCGATCCTTGACAGAGCAGATGGCTGAGAAATTCTGATTGAAAGATTTACTAAAGTGATTAAATTCCTCCGAGTATGTTACCATTTGGGGGGGGAGGGAGATGAACATGAAAAACTTGCTTACATATATGCACTGACCATCTCTGGGAAAATACCTAAGAAATTGATGGTGTGGGTTGTTTCCCAGGAAAGGACCTGCACGGCTGGAGGACAGGCGTGAGAAGAACTCCCTTGACTCTCTACCCTTTTGTACCTTTTGAATTGTGTAGGGATAATTTGAAATATAAATAACACCTGACTATTAATAGATACAGTCGTTGGTAAGTTATCAACTTGAGTATTGCAAGTTGAGAAATTGGTAGACTAGAGATGAGGCCACAAAACGACTAACAGACAGGCAGGGGGACTATGGCGCCCAGACAAAAGGGGGCTGGGAAGGAGGAACATGTCAGCATTTCGCTAGCACTTTCCAGGGAACACAGTTCTGACTCTAGCCCTCTCCTCCCTAGGACCTATCTGTAGAAAGGAGAAAAGAAAGCGATCACCAGGCTTTGTTCCATGATAAACAATCCTTCAAAACCACCAACTTTCCATTGTTTCCAAAGAGCCGGTTTGCAGGTGGTTTCCGTGGTTGGTTTACTCAGTGTCCTGTGTCCTTCCCCTGCTGCCTGCTCCGGGGGTGCTGCACAGAACCCTGGTTCCTGATCTTGGGCTTAAATGGATCTCCTTGGAAATGTGAAAAGTTGTGTTCTGGCTAATAAATTGGTTGGGGTTTTTTTGTGAGTGAAATGAGTATGCCTTGATCCTCCAGACCTGACTACCTGTATGAGAATTGGCAAAAGTTATTTGTAAACTCACAGTCTGAATTACGGGGCTCTCTGCTCAGGGGCCCTCTTGGGAAGCCTAATTTCCTGGGGATAGTACAGATGGGATCCAAGACCCTGGTCTCTCCTGGTACCAGTGAGTGTAGCAGAGCTCCTCTTCCAGTAGCTGCAGCCACAGGTTTACAAAGGTGTTGTGTCCCTTACCAAACACACCTCTCCTTTTTTTCTTTTTAATCCTCACCCGAGGATATGTTCATTGATTTTAGAGAGAGGGAGGGAGGGACAAAGAGAGAGAGAGAGAGAGAGAGAGAGAGAGAGAAACATTGATCGGTTGTCTCCCATACGCACCCAACCAGGGATCAAACCCACAACCCAGGTATGTGCCCTGACAGGGCATCGAGCCCACAGTCTTTTTGGTGTGTGAGATGGTATTCCAACCAACTGAGCCACCCAGCCGGGGCCACACCTCTTTCCTCATTTCATACTAGTAACCTGGGACTAGGTGCCTGGATTTGGGCTAAGTATTTGTTGTTGTTGTTTTTAAAGTTAATAAACTTTTATTTAAGGAATTTCACATGTTCTGAGTTCTTCCACTGCCTTAGTTCCTCCCGAGTTTGAGTCTTAATCATCTTCCCTTTTTTTTGCTCAATCTTGATGTCATTTCAGTCAGTCCACAATCCTTTTAGTTGAGCTTCTTTGATCTACACTTGAATATGGACATACTTCAAAAACTCTGCACCTATAATCGTTGGGAACTAATTTCTTCAAGTAATTTACTTTAGGGCCATGGTTAGGGTCTGAGTAGATGGATCTGCCTGGTTTTTTAATTTCAGACACCCTAGAAAAAGACAAGTATTAGTTCCTACTGAAGATTACTTATGTCTAACTGAAGAGTAAGAACTGTAAGAATAATGTTTCAATAAAAATACCAGGTTTAACATGCACAAAGCCAAGAAAACCAACGATGCCAGATACTGAATTTATATTGCACTGTCCTTTGAACACCCAGCAGGAATAAACTACTGAATGCAGATACCATGCAGTGCATTGGGCTAAGTATCTGATGTGGCTTAATTTAGTTAACCCTCCCAATAACCCTCCAAGTTAGGTGCTATTATTAATATCATCATCTCCATTTTACAGAAAAAGAAGCCGAGGTACAGAGAAATTCAAGAACAAACTTGAGGTGACATAGTAACTAAGTAGTAGAGGCCAAGCCCCCAGGCAGCCCCGAATCAAAGCCCACACTGTTACCCTCTGCTCCTCGTTGCCTCTGCAGACAGCAACCCTTCTAAAGCCCCACACACAAGGGTGTCCAAGGAAAAACTTCTCTTCTTGTTGAGCTGCAAGGATGGGATTGAGTGAAGAAAGGGACAGGGTTATTCAGGCCACAGTGGCCTTTGGGTCGTATTCAAAGTAATTGTTGCTTTCCCGGCTCCCACTTTCTGCAGCTAATACAGGGCCTTGGCCCTCAGGAGAGGCTCCTCCATGTCGGTGAGAGCCTGAGTAGCCCTCACAGGTCCTCCCCACCCTGAATGCCTGCCTTGGCCCAGGAGGGCAGGGCCTCTCTAAGAGCCCATGGGTGTCACAAAGGGGCCTCCAGAGCCCTGTATGCTGCCATGTCACCCCAGGCATCCCTGGAATCCTTGGGGCAGGAGGGTGGGGAGTGCTCCTTCCTTAACTGTGTCTCTGGGGGTCACTCAGCACCCAAACAGCCTGGTCTGGTGCCTCTGAGCCCCTCAAGTCAACGGCTTCTTCAGCCTCTGCCTGCCTCCCCTCCAGCCCTGGGCTCAGACATGGGGAAACAGTTGGGGTAGCAGCCCCTGGTTCCCCAGGCTCCAAGCACACTTCACCCTCAGGCTGCTGCCTCCTTATCCTCTGCCAACCCCAATCCTCCTGTCAATCACATCCTGGCAGGATCCCCCGATTTGCCGATTTGCCGGCTAGGCCTGGGTAGGACTGAGTCCCAACTTGGTCCCGTGGAGAAGGACAAGCCCTCCTCCAGACCGTGCGTTTTGCTTTGAGGCTTTTCTGGGATAATAACAGAGATTCTCAGCTTAACCAAGCTTTAGTCAGGCTCCTGAACCTTCTCTTAGCTCCATCTGAGCACTTCCTTATAAAATCCAGTTTTGCAAGAACCCTGCTAAGTCAGTTTAACCAGACACCCTGTCCTTGATATCTGACCACCCTCTATATCTGGTCAGGTTCCTCTTCCCCCATCATTTCCCAGGTGATGTCTGAGCACCCTGGCCTGCCTTCAGCAAGAATCCTGTTATTCAGTTTAGTCACCACCTCCCCCTCTCCGCCCCACTATCCCTGATATTTCCTCTTAGTAATTTTTCATCCACTGACCCCATCCTACTCCTTGGCTGTAAATCCCTACTTGCCCATGTTGTACTCAAAATTGAGCCCAGTTCTAAGTGAGGTCTGTTTCCCCCTATTGCAATAGTCTTGAATAAAATATGTTTTTAGGGTTTCAACTACTCTCCAACTCTGGCTTTTATTTGCCAATAATTCCACCCCCGTTCTCCCTTCTCTCACCACACACCCTGGCCCTTGCAAAAGGACTACAGCCTACAACAGTGATGGCGAACCTATGACACACGTGTCAGAGGTGACACACGAACTCAATTTTTTGGTTGATTTTTCTTTGTTAAATGGCATTTAAATATATAAAATAAATATCAAACATATAAGTCTTTGTTTTACTATGGTTGCAAATATCAAAAAATTTCTATATGTGACACGGCACCAGAGTTAAGTTAGGGTTTTTCAAAATGCTGACACGCCGAGCTCAAAAGGTTAGCCATCACTGGCCTACAACCAGGCACTCAGAAGAACAGAACAACATAACATCAAGAACAGCAAAACACAGTGGTGTGCACAACACATTCTGTTTCTGACTTTTCCTAATTGCTTCCTTCTGTTAAATACAGTAGCCTGACAACAACAACAATTACTATAGGGTGTTTGCTGTTTACAAAGCACTTGCTCAGTGAGTAGCTCATGTTCAAAGAGAAAGAGATGACTTAGAAATCCCAGCAAGATCATGAGCAAATTGTTTACCTTGTCTGAGCCTGTTTCTTCATTTGTAAAATGGGAGAATTATAACTCCAACTTGGTTCTTGACGGTTTAGTGAAATAATGTGTGGAAAGCAGAAAGTGCTACACAAATGTTACTGGTTACAAGAGCCAAATCACTGCAACTCGAGATCCAAATCAGATCACTACAGAATCAACAGCTTCTCATTGGAACAATTTTTTGAAAATTATATTTCCTCCTTATCCTCCTTTTAAAATATCATTTTAAAAAAATATTTTTTATGGATTTCAAAGAGGAAGAGAGATAAAAACATCAATGATGAGAGAGAATCATTGATCAGCTGCCTCCTACACACCCCACACTGGGGATGGAGCCAACAAACCAGGCATGTGCCCTGAGCAGGAATGGAACTGTGACCTCCTAGTTCATAGGCTGATGCTCAACCACTGAGCCACGCTAGCCGGGCTGAAGGAAAAACTCTGATTTTCAGATTTCTCCACTGAGGAGGTCACAGGATTATGAGAGGAAGAGCAGAAGAAAGTGGCTGGACTTGGGCACAGCTGTGACCGTGGCCCCTTCCTTCTGCAAGGAGTCCAAGCTGCCGCAACACCGAGGTGGTGCTGGACCTCGCTCTACTAAGGGCTGAAGCGCTGGGGGTGTATTTGTGGCACATCCCCAGCGGCAGAACTGCTGGCAGCCCCAGAGCTGAGGGAGGGCTGTGAAGCCCGTCCCACCCCACAGCCACCTGGGAAAAGGAAGCAGAAAAAGGAGAAACAGCAACTTACCTCACAGCTCGATCTTCGGACATTACCGACGAGCAGCTGTGGGGGAGAAGACGCTGCCGGAGGAGCTGCAGCCTCCGGCTCACTGCACCGAGGTAACCGAAATTTTTATTCTTCTCCCTGGCATGAGGAATGAACAGGGCTGTCTTATTTTCCTCCTCCAGGGGCAGCTGAAATATATTCCTCGGGTGAGATATCCCTTCACTGTCCCAGACAAGGTTTCCCCTGACTGAACTAGGATCAGGTCTTAGTCTTAAAATGTTTGATTTTTGAAAAAGGGGAGCTGTGAAAAACGAGAGAGGTAATTTACTTTGGTCAGACAGTGGAGGGAACCACTCTGCCCTGACTGATAAGTTTGTCCCCAGCCAACAGTATTTATAAATAGCCCCTGTGTCCAGGACACGGTGCTGGCCTGCGGGGTGTTCCAAAGGCAGCGAAGTGACCAGGAGCCGCTGTCCCCTTCACTCAGTGCACTGAGCCCAAGGCCGCTTCCCTTTCGGGGCTTAAGCTTACCAGGAGGAAAACAGAGGCTGGCAGCCCAGACTACCACGACTTGCAGACACCTTTCAGTCCTTTCTACTGAACTGGGTTTGTCTAACTGGAACTTTGTTTTGCCTCCCTGCTTTAACTCCCAGGGGATGTGAGCCCACATTCCTTGTCTCCCAGGGTCCTGAGCTCTTCTCTGAAGGAGGCTGCCCAGCTAGGGGCCAGCTGAGGGTGACTCACACCCTCACTTCCTGGCCTTCAGAGCCCAGGCCTGTGTTTGAAACTGTCAAGACACTTCCTATTTTTGAAATAGAAGCTCCTCTTCCATGTGCCTGCATGGATCTGTGTGTTCCTTCAGGAAAGAATGGCTGATGTGTGCACCTGGCCTTTCTCCCCCAGGATCTGCCAGGGGCCACCATGGGCTCTGTGAACTCCCGAGGTCACAAGGCGGAAGCCCAGGTGGTGATGATGGGCCTGGACTCAGCAGGCAAGACCACGCTCCTGTACAAACTGAAGGGCTACCAGTTGGTGGAGACCCTGCCCACCATTGGCTTCAATGTGGAGCCTCTTGAAGCCCCGGGGCGTATGTCTCTGACTCTCTGGGATGTCGGGGGGCAGGCCCAGCTCAGGGCCAGCTGGAAAAACTACCTGGAAGGCGCAGACGTCCTTGTGTATGTGCTGGATAGCACAGACAAAGCCCGCTTGCCCGAGGCAGGGGCTGAGCTCGCGGAAGTCTTGGACCGCCCCAGCATGGCCAGCGTCCCTTTCTTGGTGCTGGCCAACAAGCAGGAGATGCCTGGTGCTCTGCCTCTGCTGGAGATCAGAGACAAGCTGGGCCTGGAGAGGTTCCAGGGCCGCTGCTGGGAGCTCCGGGCCTGCAGTGCCCTCACCGGAGAGGGGCTGCCCCAGGCGCTGCAGAGCCTAGGGAGCCTCCTGAAATCCCACAGCCACTGTGTCTCCTGGTGAGCACCGAGGGGCAGTGCGTGCAGAGAACAAGAAGTCTTGACTCAGAGCAGCTTATCTTTGCTCATGGGAATTGGGAGAACCAGCTTATCCCTGAGAATTATAAGCTCAGTTTGTCAAATAAGAAATCCTTCTATGCTTGGACAGGATTTTTTTTTCCCTTGGGACTTGGTGTCACTGTTGAAAATCAACTGTTTTTGAATCATGATACTCTAAAGAAAAAAAAAATACCTTAATGCACTTCATTTAACAACTCATTGCCACCCTGGGCAGTATGGCTCAGTTGGCTGAACATTGTCCCATGCACCAAAAGGTTGCCAGTTCGACTCATGGTCAGGGCACATGCCAGGTTGCGGGTTCAGTCCCCAGCCAGAGTCTGTGTTGGAGGCAAGTGATGGATCTCTCTCTCTTTCTCTCCCTCTCCCTTCCTCTCTAAAAAAATCAATAAATCATATTTTTGAAAAACTCATTACCAAGTGTGAACTAAGCAATTGTAGTAACAGAGCAACAAGTAATAATTGTAATAATAGAGCGTAATAATTAAGACCTAAATTCATGGGGAAAAAAGGAGTCTCAAAATCAAATCATAATATCATCTAGACATGATCAAGATCTTATGAGTAATTTCCCTGGTGTCGCCAGGTATGTGCCATGATCACTCTGATCAGCCAACCTGAGCAGAATTGAGCAGGTGAGTCAAATCTTGGGTTTAGAAGGGCATGGTGCTCAGCCCTGGGCAAGGGAGTTCCAGCCTTCCCAACGTGATCCTCTTCTCTGACCCTGACTCACTGTTCTCTGCCCTTTTGTCACCCTGTGCTGGTCTTTTTCTAAACCCTTGATGTTTTTCCTTCTTTTTTTTTCTCCTTGTGGCACATATCTTTCCTTAAAAATAAGATTGATCAATGATTTCATTTATTTATTCATTTAATAAAAAATATGTAGAGCCTTGAATTTGTGGCAAAAAAGCACTGAGCTTTTAGCTACGAACCAAGCCCTCTAGGTGGGAGGTGTGTATTTTGAAGATCAGTATGACAGCAATGAACCTCTCTCATTATTACTAGCAAATACTTCCTATAATCTGAGGGTTTTTTATGGCACACAACTTACATTTGGTACCTGCTCTCATATTAAACAGCTCTAAATGTTAGCGATTCCTTCCTACCCTGGCTAGCATCAGCCTCCTTGTGGCTCCTGGTGGTGGTTCTGCCCTCTCTGGAGTGACGCAGTATAGATTGGCGCTCAATACCCCTCCAACATCTGGACCCTCTACCCAAAATCTCCCCTTCTAGTATCAGGTTAGGCGTGCCTCGTTCTTTCACTACTTGTCAATTGATGTGTTTCAAGATTTCCTGTGCTAGTCACAGGAAAGTGCAAAGATGCAACGACAAATAAGACAAGGCCTCAGGCCTCATGGAGTTCTGGCTGGGGAAGCAGTGAAGACATAGCTTCCATAAAAATGTGAAGATAGAGATTCAATTCAGCAACTGTTTATTGAGCACTTTTTGGGGCCACGTTCTATGTTGAGCGCTTTACTAGTATGTAGATTATCTCTAATCCTCCCAATTCTGCAAAGTAGGTATAATTCCCATCTTACATGGTTAGAAACTGAGGGTCAGAGAGGTTGTGACTTTCTCGAGCTATTAAGCGACATACCTGGGACTTGAAACCAGATGTGTCTAGCTGTAATGATGCCTTCATTCTTTCACATCATGCTTCTAAAGGTTTAAGCTAAGGTTCACTTTCAGTCAGCAGATGTGATGAGGGAGCAGTCTAGTCAGAAGGAGGAGACTGCTTGGAAGCATGAGGGAAAGGGTAGGAAGATAAGTAAGCCAGAATGGCTGAAATAGCAGGTTGGAGTGATTATATTATAATAGAGAACAAAACAGGAAAAAATGTTTAGGTTCAAGTTGGGGAAGGTGTGGACTTTCATAATCAACTAGAGACCTGGTGCACGAATTCATGCACCAGTGGGATGCCATGGCCTGGCCTGTGGGAATGCTCTGCGTTTGGTGGGATCAGGAAGGTGAAACCGTTAATACTGATCCCTACCTACAACAGATAATCAATTTGAACCATGCTTTGATCGTGAAACGACCAGAATGGGCCAGAAGACACGGCAAAGTAATTCTGCTCATGAAGACGCACCATCACACACTTCAAAACCAGTTAAAGACATGTTAAAAGATCTTGTCTGGGAAGTATTAACCCACCCGCTGTATTCACCAGACTTTGCTCCTTCAGATTACCACTTGTTCTGATCGATGGCACACGCACTTTCTGAGCAGCACTTCAAAGCGTACAAAGAAGTGGAAAATTGGGTCTCTGAATGGTTTGCCTCAAAACAAGAAAAGTTCTATTGGGACGGTATCCACAAATTACCTGAAAGATGGGGAAATGTGTAGCTAGTGATGGACATTACTTTGAATAAAGCACTTTTGATGCTTCTCTTGAAATTATTGTGTTTTCTTGATTACAAAATCCGCATTATTAACTGGTACATCTAGTGAAAAACTGTAAACCTACTTTTGCCTCACTTTGTATTCTGTAATTTGTAGTTTGATGGAAATGCAGTGCTTTGGCAGTAATCAAGAAGTATTGCCTTAATTTGCTGCCAAAATATAACAGATACCTGCCCTAGCTGGTTTGGCTCAGTGGATAGAGTGTTGGCCTGCAGACTGAAGGGTCCTAGGTTCAATTTGGGTCAAGGGTACATGCCCAGGTTGCAGGCTCGATCCCATGTAGGAGCATGCAGGAGGCAGCCAATCAATGATTCTCATCATTGATGTTTCTATCTCTCTCCCTGCCTCCCTTCCTCTCTGAAATCAATAAAAATATATTTTAAAAATTTATATAAAAAAAGAATTTGGCTTTGGCAAGTAAAATCATTGAACTTGGCATTTAGGAGGATAACTTAGTGGCAGTGTTGGGGTGGATTAAAGAGAAGAGGGGACAATGGGGATGGAAAGGCAGGGAGATCATCCAAATGGCCATCATAGTAACAGAGGAGAGGAGAAGAAGGGGGATGAGAACATTGAGAACCATTTTTAAGGGGAAAAGCTGAGAGAGGAAGAATTTGAAGACAGTTCAAGAATTTGAGTCTAGATGGCAGGAAGGATTGGAATGATATAAAAAGGTGGACACAGGAGGAACAGGTTGGGATTAGAACACGGGTCAGCACTACCAGGTTCTGCTTTTGAAATTCTGGGTATGAATATGTGCATGGCTTCTTTCAGATGGTTCCATTGTCTGCAGTCCTTGAGAACCAGCTGCACCTGCTGGTTCCCACTCCCGGAGGCTCATTTCCTCACATGAGTTGTCACTTTTTATTGTGAGCTCATTTTCAGTGGGATTTGTTTTTCCTGTGTGACTCTCATGTGCTCTGCTTTGAGACTGTTTCTACACAGAGTGGTTACGCATTATCTAGTAGGATCCTAGAGGCTTCAATTATTTAACCAAATATTACGTTAATTTCTCTGCTTGGGAATTATGGGCCTCACAGGTAGTATAAATCTGGGCTCTGCACTCTTTCAGGGCACAGGCCTTAGGAATTCAATTTCTGACAGGTGATCTTTTTCTTTTGCACCCAAACTAGACCATTTGCTTCCTCATACTCCCCTGAGCTGGTGGGAAGTGTTTTCTAATCCCCTTCTAAGGAAGGGGCATCTCTTTGATGCTTTTGCTTTTCTGCTGAGCTCAGATTAAAAGCTTCTCTCCTGCCCTAACCGGATTGGCTCAGGGGATAGAGCATTGGCCTGCGGACTCGAGGATCCAGGGTTCGATTCTGGTCAAGGGCATGTACCTTGGTTGCAGGCACATACCCAGTAGGAAGTGTGCAGGAGGCAGCTGATCGATGTTTCTCTCTCATCGATGTTTCTAGCTCTCTATCCCTCTCCCTTCCTCTCTGTAAAAAATCAATAAAATATATTTTTTTAAAAAATAAAAGCTTCTCTCCTCCAAGCAAGGCTGAGGCCACAGCTCCCATTCCTTTTCAGGTGTTATTAACTCAGTTCAGTCCCTAGCACTTAAATTTGGCTCCTCTAAGATCCCCACGGACTCCAGGCCTCCAATTTACACCTAAGTGCTTCGGCTGTTGTTTTTCTCTTCATTTCTGCCACTGAGGACTCCCTTTCTTTTGTGCAGGGACAGCATACATGAAATAAATATTTATTTTGTGACAGTTTCCTCAATATTTCTGTGACTCCATAATGGGAAAGGGTCTATTTGCCATGTTGCAGACCGCCTGGTGAATTTTGATATGTGGCAGGGAGCCTTCCTGCGGTCCTGGCAGGAGGGTGCTATGCTGAGATCTGTCCTTAGGAACATGTCCTGAAGGCAGGGAGACAAGAGGGTGAGCAGGGTGTCTTTTGACTGATGTGCATACTCTTGACACCATTGGTCTGAACGGACATCCTATCACCGCAACAGCCCCATCCTGCTATGGGCATTCTTCCCATCTCTTGATAATCCCCTGCTTTGGCCCAGTCTCCTTGCTGACACCAGCATGGACCAGGCTCTCGTCCAGCTCCAAGTGTGTACTTCTTGCTGGATGAGGCAGAGTGTACAAGGGAACCAGCAGGTAGCTCTGAGAGTGCTAACAGCCCCAAATCCTTGAAGGCAGGTGTCTCTAGTCAAAATAAGCCCCTTAAAGTCTCCTTCTATTATGCCCCTGGATAAGATTTGGGAAGAAGGACAACAAAGCAAAATATCATAAGACCCATGCCCAGTTAGGGTTGACCAACATTCCCTGATGGTCCATCTTCTGCCGGGGGAGAATGAACATCAAATTAGTCACATAGAATTACCTGTGGTGAGTTCCGGAATGTGAAATATACAAGTCTCTGTATGGAAGGTGGGGTTTGAGAGCCTCAGAGTCCAAGGGCAACTCTGACAGCCTTCCACCTCACTGGCTTCTGAGATGTTTGCTTCTCACAGGATGCAAGGTTCTGTGGCCCTGTCCTGGGACTTCTGATGCCCCTGCTTTTGTGCTCTGGCCCATCAAGCTTCCATGGGAGCTGGAGGTCCTTGTAGTGATAGTAAGGACCCCAGCAGTGGCAGCCGTCCTCCAGGTCACACAAACTTATGGAAGCCTCCCTACACCCTTGCTGTTCCTTAGGCTTAGGATGTTTTCCTGTTCAAATTCTGTCCACTATTACAGGACCTTCAGCTTTGTGCAGTGGCAGTATCATAGCCAATGAGGTTTATCTGAGGTGTGATTATTGCTATTAGAAATAAATAAATAA